GGTACCGGTAGCCGTCCGGCGGAGCCGCAGGAGCTGGCGGAACGATCCGGACGGGACCGAAACCATGTGTACCGCCAGCGCTAACGCTGGTGGTACAATAGTTAGGAAGTCCGTCAGAAAGTATCTCTGGATCTGCCCCTGCAGACATCCTAAATACTAGTAGACCAATCTGAAATTTGTGATTGGCATGGTGAACTCAATTCAAATTGGGTTTCTATGGATATTTGAAAATGAAGATGCTGAGCTGCTTCGGTTCCAAAACTTGGCCTAACATGACCATATGAGGTACATTTAATACCCAGTTTTATACTATATGTTACAGTAGAAAGAAGTGCACCCTTTATTGGATTACTTATTGGAAGGTACTGTAAAAATAAGACAATTGTCACAGTATGTCAGAGGACAAAGAAGCCTCTTGGTAGCCTGGACAATTTTTATTAACAGAACAGGTTTGTAACTAAAAATGAAGCTGAAAAAAATTTCAACAAAAAAGCTCACATTTTGCAGACTGAAGCTGACCTATTCATTTTTTTCAAAAAAAATCTTATCAAATTGCCCATTTGACAATGTCATTGTAGATTTGCAAGCTTCTGTTTTAAATTTAGTCAAAACAAAGCTTATGAATTTTGGCTCTGGTTTTGTCATATTTTCACTTCTCTTTGCATGGTACTTTACTTACCCTACCAGAAAAATGTAAATCTTGAAAAACTGAGTAAAACTATTGAGTCACAATATATATACTTGAAGGATAATCTGAGATGGAAATGCATTCCATGACATTTTTTGGTGAAATGGTGTAAAAATTGGTACAATAATTATTCTGGACAAAAATTTCCAGAATACTAAATCATGAAGCTGTTCGAACATGCAGTTATACAAAAACTTGGTACATTTAATAAAGGTTTAATTGTAATACCCTATATGACACCCCTCAGAACACTTTCTTTCAAATACATTATGTTAAAATTGTATGTCAGCCAAACACTAATACAAAATGCAGCTGTTCAGAAAATGAATAAACTAAAAATTCAGTTTCTCTGATGCGAAGCCACTGTCCAGCATGGCGCTATGTTTGGAGGACTGCCGTGAGCCGTCCACACTGGCAGAGTCCAACATCCGCTGGTGAAGCAAACTGGTGGAGGTCACCAAGGAAGGGTGACCAAGTGGCGCCAACTGACCACAGACCCCTTCCAGATCATCTCCAGTCAGGTCAGTCTGGACCTCGTGGTCCACCTGCTGGACTTTGCTCACCGTTTTCATGTTATTGTTACCTACAGCACCACCAACTACATGCCCAGTCCTATGCATGTACTGATTATTGACACCAACTTGAGCAGACCCCACTGCATGCTGGGAGGAAGTCACATGACAAACATGTGACCCCAGTGCTGGTTTTGATTGGACAATTGTGGGGGTGATGAGTGGAGAGTGGCGTGGTCCAAAGCTTGATGCTGCTGCCATGGGAAGAGTACTTGGGTAGATGCCAGCCTGGTAAGGAGAGAAAGCCGAACCTTCGTGTTTGCCAAGACTTTGTGGACTGTGTGGAGAGTGAGTGGCGCTCTCTGGAGGTGTGTTGCCATAGGGACTGTCATACCTCAGGGAAGATGTCGCTGGGCTCGCTGTGCGACTGTTGTTGCTGCTGTTGCCAGCATCTGAGATTTAAATAAAAATCAAGCCAATAAATGCAGACAGCACAGCTTTAACTGAACACAGATATAGTATTTGGTCAAACATTAAAGTAATAATGCCTTATAAACAGTAGCCTTGCTTCTACTTTTTAAAAAATGTTTATGCACTAAGATTCTCTAATACTACTCAATGTTTGATGAATTTAATTTACATACCATGCTGAGCTTTGTCCTGTACTTTTAACCTGTCGATCTTATCACTCAGTTCTAAAATATGGGACTCCTGTCTCCTGTTGATTTTTTTCATAACCTGGTATCTTTCCTCCATCGCCTGAGGAAATATGATATATTTTGATAGGAGGACTTTGGCATACAAAAGAGTCTTTAATGCACACAGTGATCCTTTAACCTTATACACCAAAAAGAAAAAAAAAACTCATCATCTAAGATATGATCTATCAAAACCTCATGAGAAAATTACAATTCATAAACTCATTTTTTCTTTGTGAAATGAGGGTTTTCCAATCAGAGTACATGATAGTTAAAGCCCACAAGCTGCAATTAAACATTTTATGTAAGAGGATAAAGGTATTCTACAGTTCTTCACTATGCTATTTTGTCTATGCTGAGTTAACTTTGTCACAAACCGTCTACAGCACAGGCCTATGCTGGACAAAAAAAAAAAAAAAAAAAAAAAAAAAAAAAAAAAAAAAAAAAAAACTTATTAAATGATATGCTAGCACAGGCCTATGCTGGCCAGAATAATCCCTGCATAGGGCTCTTAACAGAGAATCTGTACACACCTTGATTTGGTCTTTATGCCTGTTCTTGACTCTTTCCAAAGTTTTCTTTTCCTCAGCCATGGCCATTTCTTTACTTTTCAACAGTTCCTCCACCTCGGCCAGATGACTCCTGTAGCCCTCCACCTCCACTGTCTTCTGGTCCAGACTTAGCCTGATATCTGAGGTAGAACAGACATGTTTGACAAGTTTGGGATAATACACTGTTACCTGTGCAATATATGGCGGTACACCTCAAGGGTCTGTGAGATATATCACCAGAGGGTGGCAGTATGACACTCAATGATGATCAATTTAGAAATTTGATATCCATCAGAAAAACAGAGATTAACTTGATGTTTTATAGTAAAATTGATTCAGATATTAAGTGTGGGATATAGACTGTCACCGAAACCATAAATAGAAGTGTTCAAGGCATATATGGTGAGAGAGTGTATTACTTGCATACATACAGAGAAAAAGTCAAACAGGGCCGTACTACAGGACGCAGAAAGGACATCGTCCAGTGTAAAGGGAGCTTTCAGAGTATACCTGTACATTTTACATGCCCACTGGACAAAATTTTAGTCATTACTTCTTAGACATTTGAATCATGACCCCCTTATTGACCAAACGCAGTACACTTACTGTTATTCTCTGCCTTGTATGTGTCTATCAAATAAAGAGTCTGCGGGCGAACTTCCTTCTGCATAATCATAGCCTCTTGACGCTCCTTATACTGCTGTTGAAGCTCTCCCATTAATAAAATTTCTTTATTTAGATGATTGACCTGACAAAAAAAGACATAAGTAATGTCAATCTACCAAGACAATATATATTGTAAAATCAATATCAAATATACCCATTTCTTATCTATATAAGGGTTCAAAATATCTTTTATGTTCCTAAATCCTCCAAAGCAGGTTTCTCTAATTCTGGTATTCATATTAATATTCAATTTTTCCCTATGATTATAATGATTAATGAAGAGTTTTTGTAGACTGAAAAAAAAATCAAGAACAGTTATTTGAAGGGCACAACTTTACATTCAATACTTTGTGTTTTAAGCTTCATTTCTAATATTCATTTATTAAAGAAAATCAACAAAATTAGGTACACAGATAGAACAAAAACAAACAAACAAACAAACAAACCTTTCCATCACCTTACAATATTGACCCCATTTTAGGACAAAGAAACTTCTCAAAGTTTTTTTTACCTGTTCTTGAAGTTCCTGAGTCATATCTGCTTTTTCCTGGGTCAAACCCAACTGGGTTTCCAGCTGAAATATCTGGGCTTTCAGGTTGGAGATTTCCTTGAAAATACCAATGTCACTGTTTGAACAAAATACTTAACATTTTCTATAGCCATATTGCATTTACATGTGTAGTTTTTACATGTTTCTTACTAGAACAAGCAAAACAAATTTTAAGTTATGTGCTATTGAAAAGCACGAATACTCCTCTGAGCTTAATGACCATGCAGCAGTTTTTCCCCCTATCATTTTTTTCAATATTACAAGCAGTATTCAAACTAGAGGATCAGAGAGGCGATACCGCCTCCGAATATTGTACCACCAGCTGGAGCAAGCGCATTCGTATAGACCCCAACATACACAAAATAAGGGACACAGCCACCAGTTTTGTGCTTGACAAGCTGTAAAAATGCAATCAACAAGAATTTTTAAACTAATGCAAAAAAAATATATGGTACAATCAAATTTAAGTTCTTCGTAAGGTAGGTCAAGGGTCAATTTCAAGGTCACAGTAAATTGCCAGTATATGACTTCCTATTCAACTTCAATAGTAACTATGGACCTATCTCAGCCAGTTTTGGAGATAAAAGGGAAGCAAAATTTGCAAAATTCAGTTCATGGTGAAAAGTAGGTCAAAGGTCAATTTCAAAGTCACATTTAGATTGCCAGTATATGACTTTCTATTCAAGTTCAATAGTAACTATGGACCTATCTCTGCCAGTTTTGGAGATAAAAGGGAAGCAAAATTTGCAGTGTTCAGTTCATGGTGAAAAGTAGGTCAAAGGTCAATTTCAAGGTCACATTTAGATTGC